GGCTATTGAAACATTTTGCAAACCACAAAGTTGAAGGGGTTAATTGCCAAAACTGAAAATTGGAATGTGTTTTTTTTTTCCCAAATTCCTTAGTCTATTTGAAGGGAAGGGAATGTCCACATATGATATATTTCAAACATCAGATGGACAAGAACCACATAGAGATTATGAAGTAAAAGGTCAAATAACAACCCCCCCCCCCCAAAAAAAAAAAAAAAACACACACACGCACACACCAAAAAAAAAAAACAATCCCCCATAACAAAAGCCTTGAGAACTGTCTCCATAAATTCTTAAACTACCAGATAATTGTAGATTCTGTGAGATTGTTATCTGGGTATCACCGGTTCCAGGAGGCATATCCACCACAAGAATATCAAGGCTTCCCCAGTCAACTCCACGTGTCATTTTTTTAAGCGCACTTGCTACCTATTACAACCCAGTAACAAAAGCTAAAACAGTGAAAGGCCGTATGATAACATTAAGATCGAACATATACAGTAGGAATTTGCCAGAACCAAAAACAGATTGAAATAACTAACCCCTCAATCATGAGAGAACTACTATAGACAGAATATCTTTAAAGTGAATCAGATCTCAAACAACGACAATAGAAGCACTAATGTTCGCAATCTCATTCATGAGACATTAAGCATATGCAACAACTCCTGACTTAAGTGCATATACCAAAATATGCATGGAGAAAGACAAATTACATCAGTAACTTCATCATTACCATCTGTTTGCTGATTTAAGTACAAAATTATTGGGTCACCTCCCACTCCCCCTATTTTCTCCCTCGTTCATAAGCAAATTATCAACTTAGCATATGTTGAACTTTTCCACTAAACACTGGACTGGAGAATCAAACGGCTAACATCTCAATTAAAAGAGATTTAAACTATATAGTAAAGCTGCATGATTTCACACTTAAAAAAAAACCGAAATAGTCAAAGATTGTAATAATGATTTTTTTTTTTGGGTATTAGAATGAGCGGATATTTCATATTCTATGCTTTTAACAAGTAACTGGCTGCTTTTAATTAACGTTACACTCATATACATTTAGCAGGAACTTCAGATCTATCATGTCTACCAGATAATATAAAGAAAATAGTTTCTGCTAAAGCATAAAATGGGAAACACTGTTGTGTCAGTCTTAAAAATAAAAATTTCAACATGCATATAAGATCTAAGGTTCACTCTAGTGGCAGACTTAATTTATCTCAGCCCTTCTAAATGTTTTCATTACTTTTGGTTTCAATTAAGTCAGGAACAAAAATATAAATGCATGACAGAAACAAAAATCTACTAGGAAGGAGAACAACGTATCACAGCATAAAATTAAGGCTGAACTACAGTAAAGGGACAGAGAAGAAGAATAGACAAGAAGTAGAGGCACACCATGGGACCTCTCCATACAATTGGCGCATCTTTCTCCACAAGGAAACCCATTGACATACACTTTATCCCATAGTTTTCAACTGGAATCATTTTCTTTCTGAAAAGAAGCAAATAGCCGAATAAACACTGAAGTAAACTTATAACACAATTTAAATATGTGCAACGAGTTGGCACTTGGCAATATAATATTGCCATCCACAGAATACATTCTTGAAATCCAAAATGGGAAGGAAACGAGAGAAGTTCAAACATTATTATCACTCTAGTTGTCTCTATCAGTCATAGAAAGCAATTTAAGTTAATGATCTCAATTCTCAAGCGACTATCCCCAGCATTAAGAAGTTCAATGCCTGGACGTTAATTGAGTATCTGTTAGAGTGTTCGCGATGCTTTTGCTTCAACTTGTATACACTTCTTGGGAAGTGATACTTTTTTTTTTTGGGGGGGGGGTTTGGGGGGATAATAACTTTATCTATTTCCGTTATGCGTTATTGCATGTATACTAGTTATTCAATCATTGCCACGTAGTGTGTTTGCTCAGCTCCCCTTTCGTGTTAAATTATTACTGCGCCCCAAGGAAGATTGATGGTAAGAAAGAAATAGCAAATACCTGGGGTCACTTCTGGTTTTTCATGAATGTTCATCATGGGGGGAACATTTGGACCATATACGTCGGCATCGAGCAAACCAACCTTGAGATTGCACTTACTTGCGAGCGCAACAGCTAAATTCACTGCCCATTAAAACAGCAAATTACTACACTAAACAATGCATAGAAAGGAGAAATTGGCCCTCACAAAAAATTATTAGCATTTTCAAAGTTCAAAAATAAGAATGCTTATAGAACAGAAATAAACTTATAATTTTTGCACGCACCATCCCAGGAAACGAACCAGACCGTTCACAAACAAACTGTTCCATGTATATACATCAGAAGACAAACATAAGAGTGCTGGGACAGAAGTTGAGGAAGCAAAATACCTGAAGTAGTAGTCTTGCCCACCCCACCTTTACCAGAGGCGACAGCAATCGTATCTCTAACTCCATCAATACGCAGATGCTTCGCGTAGCTCCGAACACTTCCAAGCCTCTGCGCACAAATTGAGAATTCAATTTTATACACGGGGAAACACAGCCGTCAAAACCAAAGCCCGCAACGAACAGACAGACGTACCCTGAAGGAACTGATCACCTCCCTCATATATCCCTGCCAAGAAGACAATGAGAGCAGGTCGAGCGAAGTGTGGCGTTAGATTCTCTGGTATATAAAGGAGAAGGAATGGCAAGAAGTCTCCCGTGCGATGTGAAGAAGTGGAGTGAGGGAGGGAGAACAACGGTGGGAAGAGGCACGCGCTTATTTGACCGAAAAAGTTTCGTCCAATCTTTCCTTTTAGGGTGCTCTGATGAATGAAGCCCAATTTGCAAATAGAATGGATCAATGAAAGCCCATTTCTTTAAAGGAAAAAAGGATGGGCCAAGCCCTCTAAGTGGGCTCATTCTTTTGATTTTATATGATATAATATATTAGTAAGGAATAATTTTTAAAATTTATTACATTAAAAAAAATATTTCATTGGAAAAAAATCAGTTCAATTATTTTTTAAAATAATTATTTATTAGAAAATCACTCTTAAAAATTATTATTGAAATATGGTAGCACCAGTGGGCTGGCCCAATTTTAATCCTCCGGAGCCCAATTTTCTTGCTGGCACCAAATGAACGAGGGCCAGGCGGTTTCAACTTCAACGGTCAGTTGATCATAGAGAAGGCGCCGCTAGTAATTCCGCGCCTTATTCTATGTTATACTACTTCAGGTGTTTAATAGTACTCTCATTTATAATACTCCTAGTATAAGGGTCTTGTATTTAAAATCGGAGGAGTATAAACTATAAACTAGATCTTATAATTAGGACTGAAGATAGTATAAGGTCTAATTAATCAATTTAGAAAGATTAAGAAAGTTAGTTGAATTAGTTATTTGTAGTAAATAGATACTCCTCCGGTCTTTATTATAAGACCCAATTTGACTTTTTATTTGGTCCTAATTATAAGATCCAATCCATTTTGTCTCTTATATTTATGCATTTTTTTTCCAAGATAATCCTTTTAATAATGATAGTTTTAGCCAATATACTTAATTAGCAAAGATTTTAGGAATAACAACACTTATTTATTATAAATAACCAACTTAACTTACTTCCTTAATTTCCTCAAATAAGTCAATTGGGTCTTATAATTAGGACCGGAGGAGTATTATACTATTATTTTTTTTAAATGTTCTTATTAATCATGTGTGTTTAATTTAAAAGTAATTTCTTAACATGTATAACTTCTATAGAAATTATTTGAGAAAAAATAGATAAATGTTAAGGATATAGTGGATTAGAATCTTATATTTAGGACTAAATTGAAATTCAAACTAACTATTATATTAAATTAAGCACGGGTTAGTAATTTAAATACGTCCGTTCCCGATGAGTTTTGCACCCTTTTTGACAAAATTTTATCCAATCTGATCGTAAATTAGATAAAAGGAAAACAACAGGAGAAATTCATTACCGTGCTGTTTGATCTCAAATTGCCACTTTACCTCTCTTCCTCATCCCCTTCCTCTTTCTCATCCTCAAGCTCCAGAGCAGGTATCGCATTTCTTCGTTTCTCCATTAACCAAAATCAAATATGGACATAATTGATGTGTTTTTCAATGGATTTTTACATTTGATTTTCGAACAATTTGGATGGACTTGCATTGTGATCAGAATGCACATTACGTTGGATTTTCACCATTGTTACCTTCGTTAACGAACGTTGTTTCTAATTTTGTTAGGCCATAGCATAAAATTTTTATTGTCTGCCGGTCTTTCTTCTAATCATGATCTTCGGAAATCAAGGGGGGGAAAAAAAAAAATCTCTTCCCTTTATGTTTCTTATATCTTTGCCAGAGGACGGGCGTCTCGAATTTATTCCGACTTTGGTTTTGTATTGATAAGTTAGGCCTATGATGTTCTAATTTACTTTTCCATTTAATTTTTGCGCGTGGGGCTATTAAATTTATTGTTACTTGTTAGTATAATAAGGCACTTTATGGCACAGTTGGGTTGGTTTGAATTTATTTTTTGGTTTTGGTCGCATTCACAGTTACACTGGTATTTGGAATGAAAAAGGGTCATAGTTTTTCTTGATCAATTTATCGAACAGCTTTGGTTGTTTCTTTGTCAATTGCCCTGGTTCTTCAAGGAATTTTCCTGATTTCAGTCCACAGCTAACACGTATGGATTCTCTTGAACTTCATAGTCGTTAAATGTGAACATGCAAAAACTGACCGTAGCTCCTGTCTTCTTTCAACGAATTCTCTTTTTTACTTCAATTTTGATGAAACTTCGTTTGATATACTGGACACTGTTTGTTTGGTGTTGTTCTTGGGCCGTCTGAGCTTAGTCTTTATCTTTGTTTTTTCAAGAATGGCCTATTATTATATGTAACAACTCGGATTATAATTTCATTGCGTTGGTTCATGTATTGTTTCTCACCTTTTATCCCTGGCTCATTGAAATTTCACATAATCGACTCAGGGTGTAGCATATTGCCCTGTCTTGAGTTATATGGATTAATAGAGCATTAGAGGTAGAGATGGCAGCAGGTAAAATTTCCTTTGTTAAGACACAGGGGGTGTGGGGATTTACTGCTCTTCTCGTATCTGCAGTCTGTGAGTGGTTTTTGATAATACTATTGCTTTTCGATGCCCTGCTGTCGTATCTACTAACAAAGTTTGCAAGTTTCTGTCGATTGCAAGCGCCTTGTATATTGTGCTCTAGGCTTGATTTTGCATTAGGTGGTCAAAAGTCTGAGTTATATCAGACACTACTCTGCAACAATCATATATCAGAAATTACCTCTCTGCTGCCATGCCATATTCACAATAAGGTTGCGGATGGAGTTGGCATGTGTGATGATTGTCTCTTGTCATTCACAGCAAAGACTAAAGCCAATTCAAAAGCTCATAGATTGTTGGTGGGTAAACTGGGTCTGTTTCATGGTGACTGTAGTTTCCAGTGCTCGTTGAAGGATGACTTGTTCTCTGGTTCTTCGGATTCAAGGCCATGTACCTGTTGTGGATCGATAACGTCTCACTTTGTAGGGAAAAACAGTCGTGATTCATTATGTTATTCTGGCTTCGCTGAGTTGAAACTCCATCCTGAGTCAGAGTTTCCATTTTCTGCTGATGATAACAATGTTTCTACTGTAATTCATGAAAACAATGAAGCTGGGAGTGATCCTAAGTGCCAATGTACACCAATAGCATCATCAAAATTTCTTCCAAGTGACTCAAGCACAGCGGAACCAGGAAAGAATAAAGGTAATTGTTGTGTTTCTCCTAATTTCCTCTGTGCTGCACAACCTGAAGCTATTGCTTTGGGTGGTACTCAATCGATTGTTGGGGTGTCACCAGAGGAATGTAGCCTCCTTCTCCTTGTCTGCATATTTTTTTATCCAATATTTATAGAAAAGTTAACATGTACTTTCTGAAATGTTTCCAGCTGTAGATGTGTCTCAAGCAAGTGATAATGGACTTCAATCAATCAGAGATCATGGGGGCAGTTTTATGAAGATTGCTATAAATGCTGAACTGTTCGAAAAAACTGATCTGGTTGTAAGTGACTCTTCTCATACAAGTCTTAGGCACAAGGACAGGGAAGAATTGAAGCTATCATCACACAAATCTTCTCAAGATTCTAGTACCTCACTAGTTATTCCATTAGATGATGCTTATCCCCCAAAGAAAAAAGCTGATGCTGCTAGCTCCAATGGAACTAAGGTACTTCAAAAGTCAGTCTCATTGGATTCTGGTCTTGGATCTATGTCTGGAAGCATTGTCAGTAGAATTGAGGAGGACTCTCTTGTTGATCAATTGAAGAGACAGCTTACGTATGACAAGCAATTTATCAATTCCTTACACAAGGAACTGGAGGAAGAAAGAAATGCTTCTGCTATTGCAGCAAATGAAGCAATGGCTATGATTACAAAGTTACAAGAGGATAAAGCAGCACTCCGAATGGAGGCCCTCCAATATTTGAGAATGATGGAAGAGCAAGCAGAACATGATGCAGTTGCATTGGAGAAAGCTGATGATCTGCTGTCAGAAAAGGAAAAAATGATACAAGATTTGGAAGCAGAGCTAGACTTTTATAGGTTAAACTTGGTAGAAGAACCTATGGATGAGAATATGCATGAGGAAGGTAATCATTTTTAATGCGGCAAACATGACATTACAAAATGTTGGCTTACCTCACATCACAAATAGCATTAACTCTTCTTGTAATTCAATACAAGCTCAGAATTCATAGTCAGAAAAGATTCATTTGTCTTTATCTGGCAATATTTGGGGCCTTTGGGCAAATGCGACAGAGAGAATGACGTTTCATTCATTTGGTTTGGCTCCCAATTTTGAAGGATCAGGAGCGTTTCAAGAACAGGCATCTCCAGATCGCACGGAACAAGATAGTAGAGTACAAAAAATGAATAGTAGGCCTTAGCTTTAACCGCTTGTTCCTTCTTTGACCGGTCAGTTTTGAACTGCCCATTGTTCTTTTAACTGAAGAGAATAATGGGTTTTAGTCCCGTTGTGCTGATAAGATGGTGAGTTTCATATTCTAATGTAAGTTCATGTGATGGGAAAGAACTTTCACTGTAAATCCCAAGTCCAAACAGCTTGGCTCCATTGGGTATGGTGGTTATAGGAGGACACTATCCCCAGTTGTCCTAAGTACCCACAGGGAATTGCTGATTGTAACTGTGACAGATACCATCTGATCAAGCCGAAGCATAAAGCATTTACCGAATATGGAAGGAAGTGAGGCACGACTCTGAAGTGGTAAAGTAGTTTTTTTTTTTTTTTTTGGGAACATAGTTTTCTGTTGTGCACTGCCCGAATCAGGATCTTGTGAAACATCTCTAAATGTGTACCATGTAAACATCTTATTGTAGATGTTCAGAGTCAATTTGAACGGTACATATGTAATAATTTTTTAATTAAATTTCAATATTATTATCTTAATGAACGCATAATAGAGAACAATAGTAAATGATTTCAAATTGAAAGATATGCTGTCAAAAGAAAATCAACAAATACAAAATGAAAAAAAAGCATCCAAATTAAGCGCAGGCAATTCAAATAGGATATTTATGCATCAGGTACATGGCTCTAAGACTGGGTACCAAGTCTAAATCCGTCCTGCACATGAACAAGAAATTGGAAAGACGGCATTTTGGAGAATGTTTAAGACAAGCTACTTTGCTACGCCTTCAAACTGAGGTCAATAACACTTGTAAGTTGTAAATGGTAACTAATGTAGAGTTTTGGTGAACCCTAAATTAATGGGCACTGAATCTGAAATACACAAGTATCATAGCTCATGCATGCGCCTAGTATTAACGTGATCAAGTACACGGGCGAACCCAGGGACAGGCTCAAATTAGGGGCAACTGTTTTTCAAAAAACTAATTAACAAGAAAAATGAAAAAAGAAAAGAAAAAGGCTATTGTTAAGGACGACGTAGCTAGTGAGAGAACTGGAGCAGACCACCGGAATGACGCAACGCTCGGAGTACAATACAATTTATTCTGCTCTTATTTAAGTAAAATCTTTCCGATCATCAAGCTGATGCTGATCTATACATATATATATATGTCTGTGTGTGTGTGTGTGTGAGCATCATTGGTCACTTTTATTGTGATGTAGATCGTTAGTTTCTTCCAGTTTTGTTGTGCAAAAATTGACGGACATCAGTTGTTACTTGCTTTGAAATCAAAGGTTAACAGGATGAGGAGCATCATTCTGCAGAGTTGGAAGACTCTCCCTCTTCCTTTTTTTTTGGGGTAATTTGATATGAAGTACTAAGCTTTAATCTTAAGATTTGTGATAATATAAAAAAGTATAAACGTGCATATATCATCTTCTGTTTCTCTATGTAATTCAGCAATGCCCCAGACCCCTGTCCTTATGGCAAAGACGATTATCTGCAAGAAAACTCTACAGTGAAACAAAATGCTGTCATTTTTGGGTTTCAATTTTACAAGTTGGCAACCCTTGATTCGTCCCACTTACGGACTTCAATATATTCTTGTTACTAACTTCACTTTGTACTTAAACTCTTTTTAGTGTTAAGTTATACCTAATCCACCCTTGATGGATTGGGGCCCAAGCCCAGTACAAATGAGTTTCCTATGTGAATAACGAAATACATGGATCTAGAGAGTGAGTATTGCCTCCATGGCTTAAAATTTAAATCCTTTTAACTACTCATGCTTGAAATATGGGATACAAAGAACTAATAAATTACTCCCTATAACTTCTCCCTTGGTTGACATCACCTCTCTCCCATCCGGCGAAGTTTGATGGTTAACCCGCGGTTATGTGATTCTACATCACCCAGAACATACCAAATAAGTGAATAACTTGTTGGATTTCAAGTCCACTCCGAAACCTTCCATCTAATTTAGAGTTATTGAAATCTTTATTTTATTTTCACCAAGCCATACACTTGCTGATATCAATCAGAGCCATCGAAGATAGCGCTTAGATGAAACCACGGTATTAATTGCTGCGGGATAACCCATCTATGCTATAAATATAGCATTTCATTGTAAAAGCCCACTTGCATGGAGAGCTGTGCCTGTGAGTGTATGTTGAGTAAAACAGGGAAGTAGAACAACAATGGCGGGCAACTGTGTGGTGATGAGGGTGACGATGATGGTGGTGCTGATTCTGGCAAGTATTGTGGGTATGACTTTAGAAGGAGCACATTGGTGTTCTGCAGAAGAAGGTAACAGAGTCACTACCACTACCAGAAAAGCCCTTGTTCCTCCTTCTGCCGCTTCTTCCTGCTCTTACATTCCCAATCTCTCTCACTCTTCAAACTGTCCCAGTAACCCTTAACCATGTCTCTCCTGACTTGCACCTTCACACACTCACACAATATATCTACATATAGTCTTTAAGTTTTGATTACGTCCCCTGTTTTTGGGCTTCATTCCCTGTTCCTAACACACACATATTGTTTGTTTGTGAGCGTGGGGGTGTGAGTACATGCAGTTTTCTCCCAAAGCGTCCTTAGTTTCGATCTGCTGTAATGGGGTGTGCGTGTGTGTGTCGGGGGTATGTTATGATGATAGCTATGCGGTAACAATGATGAAGGGATATATGAAGTAGATGAGTAGGCCTGGCGCGCCCTTAATGAGTGTTTCAGCACTGCAATTAATAAATTGTCAGTTTTTCTTCGTTGGTTTAATTATGGATTTTGTTTATTATAAGAGATCAAGGGCGTGTTTCAATATATTGGTGTTGAAATTTCATAGACTGAGATAGAACAAGATGTAATTTTATTTTTCTTGGTATGGTTCCCTCTTCAAACATGTGGGCATGGGGAATTTAAACTTTCGGCTGCGCTCGAGTCATTGGATGGAAGATAATGGGCCACTTACGCCACGCGCCTCAAATTTTTGTTGGGCTCTTAAATTTCTGGTCTAATGGGCTACAGTACCTGGATATTGGCCTCTCCCCTAATGAAATAGAGTTTGATGAGGACAGATCTAGGGCTGTTCACGGGACGGATCGGGACCGGGACCTGCCCGTCCCGGTTCCGTCCCGATGAACAGTAACGGGATAGATTTTCTGTCCCATGTCCCGGCCCGTCCCGGGGTTGTCCCGATCCCGGTTGGGACGGGACCGGGACGTCCCGAACATTTTTCTAAATTTTTTCAAATTTTTTTAATAAAATCTGAATTTTTTAATTATATTTTTTTGGACTTAAACCTTATAAAAAACATCTTTTTATTTTTTTATTTGTTTGGACACTCTTAAACAAAAGCTCAAAATATTACATATAATAATCATTAAAAATTCTAAACAAAAGCTTTTAACACAATAAAAACTTGCGAAAAATTCTAATAATCAATAATCTCAAATCATTAACAAATATAAAAACTCTAAATAAATATATCTATAGTTTCATACAATAGTCTCAAATCTTAAAAAATTATGAAAAAAAATGATAAAAAATTAAAAAAAATTTTAAAAAAACGAACCGGGACGGGACGACCCCGTCCCGTCCCGGTTTGTCCCATTTCGAAAAATTTCGGGACAGATCTGTCCCGTCCCAATAAGACCGGGACCGAAACGGGCCGACCGGGACGGGCCGGTCTTGAACACCCCTAGACAGATCCAAGATGATGCTGGATGTATGCCCAGCTGAATGGACTAATATCCTGTGTAGTGATGAACTAACATCTGAATTCTGGTTAGAAAAAAATTCATATTTAATATTTGATAGTGTCTTGATATCCGTGTTTAGCCTAAAAAACGGATATTGCCAAGCGTCAAAGCGCTAATGTGAAATTTGTTAGAGATATTAAAATGTCATTAGCTAGTTAAAATATGCTATATATGTAAAGAAGATGGGTGTGTTTGGATAGAAACCAAACCATAGTTTCAGAAGTGTTTTTACGGATTATGAAGTAAATATGTGGAGGAGATTATCTCGTTTTGCGGAAAAGTGCTTCTGAAACCACGGTTTTGGAATACCCAAACAGGCCCGAATGTGTTAAGTATGATTGGATGCATGTGGAGTCCCCACTGTATAGAGAGATGATAGCGAAGGTCTTTTTCCTCAAGTTTTTAAGTATTTTAAAACTATTTATCATCCTTTAAGAAAGGATTCAGTCACCCCAAAGTTAACCACACTTTGTCATATTTTCTTTCACTTGATGAGACACTTTGTCATATTTTCTTTCACTTGATGACGACATTAATTCAAGTTACTTTGACCAACAACAGAAAAAGCAGCTGCCTGTATGATATTTCTCTCTCACTTCATTCAGAACATAATTACCCAATAATTTATCACAGTAGAGAGATCGATCATAGGCTAGTGATTAAAGACATATACAGCATTTTATTCTGGGAGAAACACATATATACCATAAAGTTGGCGTATAAATGTTGGAGGTCATATAAACATATAGAATAGTTTAAAAAAGAAAAAAAAAACTCGGGGCTATTTCTGCTAATCCCCTGCCTCTACTGTTGACTGAAAATAATAATGCTATCTCCTATGCTTAATATAAGAGCTAGTTTACTAATTTAAGTAATTTAAAGAAGTTTGTTATGTTAGTTATTTATAATAAATAAGTGTTGTCTTTCCTAAAATATTTTTGCCAATCATATGTATTAATTAAAATTACTATTTGATTAAATCTTTATCGTGTACAATTACTACAATGATTACTTTGAAAAAAATAGATAAATATGATAAACAAAGTAGATTGGAGTCTTATATTTAGGATCAAATTAAAAGTCAAATTAATTTTTATATTAAAAATTAGAGATAGTAGTACACATTAAAATGTTGGTTTTGAAAATATAAAAGAAATTTGTCTCTATAATGTGCTTGACCCTCCTGGAACAAGGAATGAAATCCTCGTTTTAAACACACGAACTAGAATATACCCCCCCCCCAAAAAAATTTTTATTGGGGGTAATTGACCAATTAAGCAACCTAACTAAAGAGAGATATATGTTCCTTCGTTGTAGACACTGGAGTCTGTCAAACGAATGGAGGCCAACAATACCCTCCGCAATAAACATAACGAGGAAGCTGAACAGTGTATATAACATGACACGATGGTTCGTACGAGGACTCCGGAGACCACAAGTTAAGCCAGCTTTTCTTCCTTTTTTCTCCCTTCCCGAGTCAATGCCTTGACTTTAAATACATATACAAATACGAATGTATAGAAGAATACGAGGTTTTCCAAGTAGGATGATGATACGGATGAATTGAAATGGAGCCCAGTTCAT